CGGCCCACACTCTTTCTGTTTGATGTGGACAGATAGATATAAAAACAAGCACTGTATCTTTATTCATACACTATGGATTTTAGTTCCGAGCCTCGGAGACATGTGCTGGTTTAAAAGCGTTCAGTTGCAGTGCACTTTGTTGTGGATTTTCTGCAGTTCAGCAAAACGTGTAAATGCAGGAAAGTCTGTGTTTGTCTAGCACAATGTTTTTTGTGCTGTGAAAGGTACATGTTTCGAGTCTGAAGTTATTGCTGCGAGGAGAAAAAAAACGGAGCAACTTTGAACACACTAATGCTCCACACTTCCTGCGCCATACAGTTTGGTTCTTATCGCCCTGTGCTTATCGTTCTACCTCCTCTGGCATTTTTGTCACAAGACACTGTGTCGGTTTGCTAAGAAAGTGTTTGGCAAGCAAATAAATGCAAAAGCAATTAAATTTGAATTTGAAGACCCTGTAGAGGACTCTTTGAATCCGAATCTGCACCTCAGATGTGTGCTTTAATACGCGAGCTCTGCTGTTAAGGAAGTCAAGAGTGGTCTTGAGGGGTACTCTAGAGAGAGAGAGAGTGTGGCATCATGGGTAGGATTGGATTACAGTCTGTTTTATGAAAACCGGCAAAGATGCTGCCCCTGACCATTAATGGCCAACAAAACTACTCCGCTGATGCCGACCTATATCAAAGTCAATGATTTATTTCATGCCTAATGACTCTCAGCTGGTGCTCAAGTCGCTGCTTTAATGGAGTTTGCAGGCTCTAAGTTATTACAGCCAATGAGATAATGCAAGCAAGCTGTTAACACTACGCATGACTCATTGTCTTGTAAGTCCGTCGTTGATGTGGTTTTAAGGAGTGGTGAGAGCTTGTATGTTCCCAAATTTTACAGGTTTTGCTTGTTTACAGTCTACAATCTTGTGTGCTGTCAAGTCTTAGGATAGCAGAAGTCTGATCTAATTAATTGGGTATTGTACCTACAAGGTTTGAATGATGTTTACAGTGTAGACCACAGTTGTAAATTAAATATGTTCTACAAAAAAAATACTATTTCAGTTTTACTACTTTAAAATGTCATGTTTAGTTCATTGTTAGTTAGTTGTCATTTCTTTTTTCAAAGAAAATTCTACACTATTTTTTTTTTCAGTGTATGAAAGAATTTGGCTGATTGGGTTGGATTGCCTGTGCATTTAAAGCAACAGCAAATAATAGAGTTGGTGAGCAGAACAGGCCTATGCATTTTTATTGACATACATTTTTAATACCCAGTGAACATATGGCTTTAGTTTTTACATTCTGTCTCAAGACAGACACCAATAAACATTTGTCAGTGGAAAACCTGCAAAATTAAATTCAGGCTCTTTTGATTACAATTATGGCCAAGAGTCTCCTGAATCTTCTGTCTGTGGTTTTGATGTCTTTGTAAAAATGTTAGTACATTCCTGCTCTTAAGGAGATTACATTAAAAACGGATGAGAAATTAGATATCTCAAATATGTATTGCTGTCATGGGCCATGCTCTGTAATATAAAGTCTGCTGTATGTGTGTCTAGCCACAGGCATTTTCAATTAAGTAGAAATTACTGAGATCTTTGGTGGTCCTGGATGTCAGAGGGTCCCAGGATGTCGACCCTGACATAATACGCTGTCTTTTGTGTTTGTTAGTCAAGAGCAGTACTCAAACCCCACTCTAAATCTGACTAGCCCCCCCCCTCGAACTGAAGTATATAATCCACAAATCATGTTACCAGGATGGTATTTGTGTTAATGTCACTGTGCACTTTTTCTACATATTAGTATTTACTTAAGCTTGTGATAAACTTTGGTTATATTATAAAGGTATAAAACAGATTTTAAAAACTAAACTAGGTTGGTATGAACGTTACCTGGCAACCACAGCTGCTTTAAAATGTACAGATTTTTAACCACTAGGGACAGAACTATTAGATATGTTTGGTAAACTGTCATAAAATTAACTTAGCATGAAAAGTAGCTTTGAACACATCAAACTCTGTATTCCCCCACTGAATGTCTTTAATTTATCTTTATTTAGGGGTTCAAGCACGCAGTGCTGAAACCCTATTGTAATTGTAAGGATTTTTTTTTAAATTATTTTTCTCCACTAAAACTGATCGTGCAGACCAAACCGTAAGGCCTAGAGAGCTGAAACTTGGCCAGAAGGTAGAGCTCCCCTGAGGGGACATTCTGACAAAGGCTCACCTCAATCGGCCAAAGGGGGCCGCTACAGCACAAAAAAATAAAATTTCAGACATTTTTGGCCCTAACTCGTACACCTTTTGTCGTAGACTCAAACATTTTACATCGTTGCAATCCTTGGGTCAACACAAACAAAAGTGGAGTCAGACAGATGTTCTCTACGACGCATGGTTTTTCCGTAAAATTGACCTATATCTCAAACCTACTTTTGCGAACTAGTCCGAGGTTTTTCACCCAATCAGAACCAAACCACTGCAGAAATATTCGCTGGACACTGAATATCAATAATTATCAAAAAAAAAGTTGAAATTTCGATTTTTGCGCGAAACAGTACGCCAAGAAGCCTCTATGCTAACGTTAGCCAAATGTTAATTGAAGTATAACTCTTGAACGGAGTGAGATATCTTCACCAAACTTGTTTCACATATCCACACAATATGCATATCATTTGATAGATCACCTCATAATGCACAACTTTGCCTCAAAAACCATTGCTGTCAATCAAATCATTCATTAATTATTCACAAATATGTTAAAAAC